TTATATTCGAGCTGCCTTTTCAGGTTTTCAACTCGAATCCTCATTTGGTTTCAAGGCATAATCAGAATTTACATCTTGAACCCCCTTTGTTATTTTTCTCTATCATGCATTAAAGATTTAAAAAAACTTTTTGCAAATAAAGATTAATGACGGGCGAGATGAAATCTGAAGATAGTCTCTTCTGTTTAGAAATCAATGTATGATTAGAAGGGACTTTTAAGGCACGTAATGTAGGCCATGGGTCATGGTTATGAAAGAAAAAGATAAATAAGCCCAAACAAGTGTTTCAGGGTATTAAACCAATGATCAATTCATTCTGATGCCTTCAATCATGTCTTACTCAATTTGAATCTGCTCGTATGTGTTTCTCTTGATTTTCTTTGGATATTCCATGATCTTCGAGTGAAGTGATTCTGGAATGATTGTGCTTGATTCTCTTTGCTTTTTTCTTCTTTTTTTCTCTTTTTTCTTTTTGTTCTGATTGGATCTTTGCACTTGGCATTTGGTATCTCCTTTGCACTGATGTCTTCACTCACGTGAGCAGATTTCTTCCACCTTGCCCCCCAGTGTGGAGGGTGATCCTTGGTTAGGGTTGAATCAGAAGAAAAATACTATAGGATCAAAAGGGGACACAAGGGATATATATTTTCTCCTGTTGTGAATAGATGAAGAAAGAAAGTCGTTCATCATTTCATACATGGAAGTTTTCATAGAAGATGTATCCCCAGGGGATAGATTTTCAGGATTAATTTCATTTACATGAAAACAATGTAATTAATGCATGATAGAATTATTTCAAATGAATTCTTCTTTCTGCTTCTTGCTCCCGACATGTCTCAATGTTCAGGCTCCCTGCGAGATGCCCCAAGTTGTGTCTTAGAAGAATGCTCATGTTCAAAAGAACAACTCAATGCCTTGAGTTTTAATGGTATAAAAAGGTCAATTTTGAGTCTAAAAAGAAAATGTTGTGACTTTATTGACTCAAAGAAAGGTTCAAAAGTTTCAAAGGGTGATAATGTCAAAATCTGGTGTTTTGGTAATGACCATGAGTTATTTTGGGTAAAGAATCAAGGTATTTTATTTTGGGATTTGAGATAGGATAAGAAAGCTCTAATCTTGCCATATGTCAAAAATCTATAATTCTTGAAGAATTAAAAGAATCCTTAATTCATTTAATATTCGAAGAACTAAAGATTAAAATTTGTTCAATTATTCCACCTTATAAGGTACCATAAATTCAATCGTTTAAAAGATTAAACAAACATGAAAGATCAAAAGCGTGTTCAAAGAAAACAATGCTCTCAATGTAAATGGTAAATGTCATGCCCCCTTCTTCGACTGTCCATGCCCCTGAATCCATCAGGTTTTGGATCTTACGCTCACAGTTCTTAGATGAATGTCTGAAGCTTCCTATGTGGTAATGCAAACAACTTCAACATTGTAGCCCTTAGGATATGTGAACTCTTTTCTCAGATCATCCTGGCAGGCTTAGTCCTATAATCAGCTGATCAGGCTCCCACTGTACTAATTTCAATTTTTCTTTTAATTGTTAAAATCTTGCTTTCATATGGTGTTACGTGGTTAAGAACACTCCATCGAATCCTCCATGAAGACATTTCATGTTTATGAAAATACTTAAAAATAAAATGTAGATGCAAAATGCAAAAATGTATGAAATGTTTGAGGCATTGATCCGAAAATATGTCTGTTATTATAAATAATCTTTAGTGGGAAAAAAGTGTTTTATCTTTTAAGAGACAATAAACATATTTAAAGGTACATCCGAACTAAATCCTTTAAACCAGAAACAAGTTGACTAGTCTTATCCCTTCATCTGTCACCGATCGAATACCCTGTCGAACCGCTCTGGCTTCTCTGGCCAAACCGTGCAAGTGACGAGCTGTTTTTTGTACATGTTCCCAGAAGTTTCGAATGACTGCATCTCTAGCTTTCATCATTTGTTGAACCTGTTCTATAACTGAAAACCATTGAAATCCTCCATCAAAGGGATTATCTGAAGTTCATTCGATTGTTTCTTGAATTTGTCGATAATGGCTTCCAATTCAGGTATCGTTTGTCATCTTGTTCTTGTTGTCTTTGAAGGGAATCTCGATGTCAGTAACCTTTTTCTCGTCTTGCCCTGCCACCTTTGTCAACCTATTTTTGAAAAGTTGACTTGTGATGTACTTGATTGTGGCACCACGGCTTCTTGATCGAATGTGACACATAGTTGCCTTGCAGATTGTCATTCTTTTCTTTCTGAGTCTTTTCTGACCATAGTCGGACTCCTGCGTTTTTCACCTCTTGTATTACAACCCCTTTGTCCATTAATGTGAATTATTTACGTTTAACGAACACGTTTTTTTTATCAACACCTCTTTTTTTAATGATGCAAATGATGAAAATTAAAATAAAAGAGAACAAAAATAAAAAGAGTTAGTGAGGTAAATAAAAACAATAATAAAAATGAAAAATCCTACCCTACATGATATCTACCCCACATGTTTATTATTCCTACCCAGACATGATCTCTATCCCGCATGCTAATTTCAAACAAATCCTAACCGTATATTTGTCTATTTCGCATGCTTTGAATAGAAAGTAAAGCAGCAAATAAAATCAAAGCAGCCTATGGTTTGGAATGGGGTTTCGGGGTGGGCTCTAATTCCTTGTAATCTCCCAGTTTAGGTTCTAAAAAGGTACTTGAGTTCTCCTTGCTGGTGCCCCCTTGGACTTGCCAGACCCTTAGTCTTAAGCCCATTACAAGCTTGTGTGAAACTAAGTTAAACTCGAGAGGAAACATTCCCTTATGCCCGCTCGGTCAATAAATTCACACGAAAACATAAGGTATATGAATCTCGAAGGCTACTTGCTAGGCCTGTGCGGTGAATAAATTCACACGAAGGCGTCGCTTTCACTTAGAAAACGGTTAGTACAACTATTTACTCGAAAATATAATCAAAAGTAAGCAATAAGGATCTAAATGCTACCTTAAAATTTAAACTTATCATTTTCGTTAAAAAGACAACTGGAAATTACCTTATCCTGACTCACTTACCTGTCCCCAGCGGAATCGCCAAGCTGTCAGAATCGTCTTTCAGGTGGGCTCGAAATTTGGCTTCGACTTGGATTAAACGAATTGGAGTCGCCACCGATCATTTATTTTGAAACAAATGGGTTGATCGGATACCCTATTTCTTATCTGATCTGCGTCTTTCCAAAGATGTGTCGGATTCGGGAGTCGGTTACAGTCAAGGAAAGGTTAACACCCTTGAATTGCCCCTTCGGTACTACGCAATTTTCAGTTGTCTTAAATTAAGAAAATTGTAATTTAAAATTAAAAGGTAAAAGTACGATCCCAATTACTTACCTTAGATAGTTTTAAAGGTGTACGCTTAAGAGAGCCAAGAAACGTGTTAGATAAAAAGGTAATAAATAAATTAATTAAATTAAAATGAAGAAAAAACAAATTAAATAAAATGTAAGATAAAGAAAGCAAAGATAAAATAGTAAGTAAAATAAAAATATATATATAAAAAATAAAGAAAAGTAAGAAAAATTTATAAATAAAACAAATAAATAAAATAATAATAAAAAAGTAAATATATATATATATATATACATATATATATAATAAATAAAAACATAAAAAAATAGAATATATATATATATATATAAATTAATAAAACAAATAATAAAAAAATAACATATATATATATATATAATCTAAAAAATAAAAATATATACTAAAGTAAAAAAGAAAATGCATAAAATCTAAAAAAACATTACATGAAAAAAAAATAACAAAGCAATTAAATAAAATGAGTAATAAGAGAAATGTGCGTATAAATAAAGTTAAATAAATAAAATAATAATAATTAAAACGTAAATGTAAGGGACCGAATCAAAAGGAAAAACAAATCGATGGGCAAATTTCGAAGAAAAAAATTGATTTAGGGGGGGAGAATTGAATATTTAAAAATAGGAACACGCCTCGGGGTAGATCTAGGTTCAAAGCTTCGAAACTCCACCCCTTTTTGGTCATCGGCGCAACCCAGGTTTTGGGTTATTCGAACCAAATCTCAAGAAAAATAACATGCACATGTGAGAAATGAACGAATCAAGGTAAAAAAGATGTTACAATAGTGAGTTACAATGACTATTTATAACGCTTGTGGATCCTATTTTTAGGAGTTTGAATCATAGTAGAACTCTATCCTATTTTTAGGAGTTTAAATCATAGTAAAAATCTATCCTATTTTTAGGAGTTTGAATCTTAGTAAAACTCTAACGTTATGTTTTTTTTTCTAAATCCCACTAATTCGGGATTGTTGAGAGTGTTGTACCCGGACGAAAATGTGTGTTGACAATATCATTTGTAAAGAATTCATCAAGCTACTTAACCAGTAGAATGGTAGAAGAGAATATAGTTATTCCTAAAGGTTTTAGATTTGAGCGGATGAATATAAAAAATATATGAGTTGTAAATAACTAAAAAATTTCTCAATAGATATTAATGATAACTTTTAATTTAATTGGATATAAGACTAAAATTAGAATTAACATAATTAATTTTAAATTTTCAGAGATACAAATTCTCAAGGATCCAAAGTCTTTAATAACAATGATGGAGCCACATCGTATATTAGAGTATTAATTGATACTTCAAAAATTTTAATTTTTTTAATAAATTTAATATCATTTTTAAAAATTATTAAGATCACTTTTTAAAATATTAACATTGTAATTAAATTTTTTTAGCTCTTTACCAGCATATTGACTAGCTTCAAAGTTAATCAACGAAAGCTAATTAAAAATGAAACATTTTAGAAATGGGTTTGCCTAGTTTTCAAGTTATTGATCCTTGAAAAGATGATGAATTCCCACTAGTTTCCAAGAAAATTAATGTTTTATTTCTAAACATTGCAGTCAAAATCCAAGGCTACCAGCAAATTACACCATTTCCCAAAAAGAAATGCACAAAGTAAATTTGCAAGAAAAAAAATCTAAATCTCTGAGCCCCTTACCCTTCAAATCCATCTGATTTTACACACAGTTACAGTCAGATCATTAGTACATAACTTTTCCATCTGCCTTGTTTTCATAATAAATAAAGGTGTTACAACTACTAGTAGTACTAAATAGCTGCTTAATTTCCTCAATCCCATAATCTAATGGTGTTTCAGTTGACCATCCATGATCATGATTTGATGACATGATCAGCTTCTGGCTTCCATCAGCAACTTCACTGCAGAAATTATTGTAAAAGTGCGTCCCTATTTGTTGATGATGATCACCATTGCTGCACTCTAATTCTTTGTTGATGCTACAACTCCCATCAGATGAGGTGCAACTAGGTTCACCTCCAAGCATCTGGACACCATTATCATGCAGCTGATGAAGCTGGATTGGGCCTAGTGAACTTTCCCGGGGTTGAAGAATTGATGCAGAAGTAAGGCAAGAAGCACTAGTGTTTGAGAAGCTTGAGGAATATGATGGTTCAAAGCATGAAAAAGATGTAGGTGGTGTGTGATAAGTGTTGTTGCTGCAATTGTAGAGTAATGTAGATGATGATGGTGAAGGTGAAATCTGATGGGGTTTCCTTTGAGACTGGGGAACCCTGCCAAATAGTTTCTTCTTCAGCTTTGTGTTCCAGTAGTTCTTTATATCATTATCAGTCCTTCCTGGCAACTGAGCTGCTATAATTGACCACCTGTTGCAGCTCATGATGTGACTTCGTGGACAAAATCAGAGAACAATATACATTAATTTGGTGATTAATACCTGCTGCCAATGGTTGCAAAAAGAGTGCAGATGATCTTATCTTCATCATCAGAGAATTTTCCATGTTTGATATTAGGCCTGAGATAGTTAAGCCATCTTAATCTGCAACTTTTCCCACATCTCCTCAGACCTAAATACAAAAACCAAACACATTCAACATCACAAAACAACTACTGAAAAACCCCTTTAATTTACAGGGTTATATGAAACTCACCAGCTTTTTGTGGAAGAGTAATCCAGTTTCCTCCTGTTCCATTTTGCTCTATGTACTCCTTGAGCTTTGCATCTTCTTCAGGTGACCAATGTCCTTTCTTCACATTAGCCTTGTCACAACAAGGTGCCCTTCCCATGATCTTTTAATTGTTTTTTTCAGAGCTTCTTTTTTAACTGTTAACACATAAGAAACTTTGTTGCAGAACTATTCCAGCTTTTCTTCTTCTTCTTTGGTCCGGAAAGAAAGACTTTGCTGCAAATTGGTTTTGAGGGAGACATTAATATAGAAAGATATAAAGCAGAAGTCAAAAGACCGTCCATCATAAATTACTCGAGGCAAATGTGAGACCGTCCATTTTACAAGACAGAATCCAAAGTCTTCTGGATTTTATTCAGATTAAAAAATAGATGAACCCACAAAGTTATTTTAGTAATAAAAAGTAGAGTAAAGAATACAAATGATCCTTAGATTATATGCTAATGCTTTATTAAATAATTCTACTATTTAAAGTTACAAAATGATTATTTGATTATAAAATATTAATTTATTGAGTTTATCGATTATTAAAAGTTACAAAGTGGTGACTTGATTATTCATTATGAGTCAGACTCATCATTTGTCTTTAAAAAAATATATAAATTTGTTTATAAATTACATATAAAAATTAAAATATCATAGAATAGTAATATATAACCTACAATCCATAATGTATAATATATAATAAAAAACATGAGTTTGGAAGAATTTTTAAATTGAAAAATGTTTTTATTTTTTATTGTATTATTAAAATGATATTAGATTATTATTATTATTATTATTAAATTTTAAATATTTGAAAAAAGGTACTAATTCTAAAACTATGCTTTTATCATATTAAATTATACAATTCATCGAAGATTAATCATTATAAAATAGATGTATTAATAATATTCGACTTAATTATTTAAAAAAAACTTAAGTATTTTCATTTAATTAGTAAATAAAAATGACAAAGAAGTTCGAATTCCGCTATCATCTTTATTCAAAGTTTAATTATTTATTTATTCTATAAAAAAGTTTAGTTATTTATAAAAATTAATTATAATTTGAGGTTTTTATGTAATATTTAATTATAAAAAAGATAATATATTTTAATTATATTAAAAAATTAATAATCATATTTTAAATTAAAATTTAAATCATATTATTTATTTAATAAATTTAAAATTGAACGTGTAAAGTAACCTATAAAACATATGAAATTAAAAATGACAACTTATTAATATTATTAGTAGTGATAGGCTTAGTCGTAGGGCTGTCATTGTCCTTTATCAAATATGGCCGCCCCCTTTTAATTTCCATCCATATGCTACATGATTTTTCATGGACTTATTTATCATATGTGTACCTTTCAAATTCATAGACTAAATTTATTTTACTTTTTAATTTTCTATTGTTAATGAGATTTGAACCTCTCTCTATATAAACAAATATCATATTATTAATAAATATTTTATTCATAAGATCACGTTCGGAGTTAGATATTATACATCAAATCTAAATACAATATTTATTAACGTGTAACTTTCTTGGTATTGCATGCTTCTTTATAATAATGTAAACTTTAAAAGTATTAAATATTCAAAGGCCAAAAGAAAGAAGATAAGGGAAGATATAGTTTGTATGTGATTTCATTTCATTTGTTTTTCATGAGGAATTTAAATTCAATTGATATTTTGAATATCACAATGAGAAAAGAAAAAAATCTTAAACATATTTAAAAAAAATGTGGAATTGGGTCAAACAAAAATTTGACTAAGTAGAGGCTAGTGAAATAAAACCTTGAAGGACATTATTATGAATGTCGAAAAGTTTCCTTAGTCTTTTTTTTTGGATAAATCAATTTTTATATCCAAAAGAGCAGTAACCTGCTTCAAAAATATAGTTTGTTCTTACAAATTAATCAATACATACAACTATTTACATCAGAACAGAACATCAATGTTCAATATCCCATTGAATACAAAGATTACTATTGACATAATCATTTCTATTAATTTCTCTACCCCTAAGTTGGATAGCAACAGAATCTTTAATAACTCGGAGTAAGGCATTAACATTTCTTGAGCGTCGTTGGTAAATTCTTTTGTTCCTCTCCTCCCAAATAGTGTAAGTAAAAGTAGTCCAAGCAAGCTTCATAATAGTAGTTAGCAAAGATTTTCCTTTCCAGGAAGCACAAGCCCACGAAATATGAGTACTCCACGAACAAGATCCTCTGCAAATGCCATTGAAATTCAAAACAGAGCTCCATACCGAATTTGCCAAAGAACAATGGAGAAACAAGTGATCTCTAGTTTTCATCTCCTCATTACAAAGCACATAAATACCATCAATGGTGAACCCCATTCGAATCAACCTATCTTTGGTAGGTAATATGTTAAGGAAAGCCATCCAAGTAATAATACTATACTTAGGAACATGAAGTGGAAACCAGAATAGCTTATGCCAATTGACCTTATCCTCTTTCTTACGAATGTGATGCCATATGTCTTTGATTGAATGTGGTCCAGAAGCGAAAAACGGTGGCTGCTTAATTCCTCATACTTAGCAGTTTTCTGAAGCTCCAGCTTGTATTGATCCTAGCCTCCATGGTCCAAAAATCAGAATTCTTGATAACATAAGTTTTAATCCAAGCAATCCATAAAGAACCATCCCCCGCAAGGATTTTCTTAATCAAGTGCAGTATACAAGATTTATTCCAAGATTTTATGTCTTTTAGACCAAGACCCCCTTCGGATTTAGGGAGGCAAAGCTTATCCCATCTAATTCTTGCACCTGTAGCAGCAATGTCAGAACCTTTCCAGAAAAACCTTGAACATAATTGCTCAATTCGGTTAAGAACAGATTGTGGAGGATTAGTTGCCTACACCAGAAATTAGTAATACTTTGCATAACAGTTTTAATAAGCTCAAGTCTTCCAGCATAGCTCAAGTGTCTTCTAGACCATTTGTGTAGACAGACTCTAATATTTTCAATTAGTGCTACACAATCTTTCTCCGAAAGTTTCCTAGAGACAAGTGGAATACCCAAGTATCTAACAGGTAAAAAACCATGATTAAAACCTGTAATCTGCTTGATTTCTTCAATATTCCTAGGGGAAATTCGAGAAGTGAAGAAATCAAATTTTTTAGCATTAAGTTTGAGGCCTGAGATTTCATAGAAATGATCAAGAACACTAATAACCCCCACAACATAATCAATATTCCCTCGATAGATGAGTTAACCCAATTTTTTTACATCTTGGCAAAGCCAAAAATACCTCTAGTAGCAGCCTTGTTGAGAATACAAGATAGGATATTCATCGAAAGTACAAAAAGAAGAGGTGAGATAGGGTCACCTTACCTTAATCCTCGAGCACCTTTGAAGAACCCAATAAGACTTCCATTAAAAGATATAGAGTAATGAGCAGTAGTGAAACAAGCTTCAACCCACTTAATGTAAGTGGTAGGAAGAGCAATAGCAATGAGAGTATCAGAAATAAAATCCCAATACAAAGAATCGAAAGCTTTATTTAGATCAATTTTGAGAGAACATCCTGGGGATAAAGTCTTCCTTCCATAGCCTTTGACAAGCTCCTGTACAAGGAGAATGTTGTCAACTAAGTTCCTCCCCTTAACAAAAGCCGATTGATTAAAAGAAATAATTTCAGGAAGTAGAGGAGTCAATAGCTTGACCAAGATTTTAGAAACAGTTTTATAGACCACCGAACAACAAGAAATAGGCCGAAAATCTGTCACCTTGCTTGGATTTGGAATTTTAGGCACCAAAGTAATGCAAGTGGCATTAAAAGCAATAGGCTGCCTATAAGGATTTCTAAAGAAGTGAGAAATTACTGCCACCACATCATCTCCAATAATAGGCCATGCTTTCTTGAAAAAATACAGAGTGCACCCATCCGTCCTAGAGCTTTGTCGTTGCCTTGGGAAAAGATTGCATCTTTAATCTCATCTCTAGTGACATTCTTAACAAGATCATTAGAGCTTTCCAAAGGCAAATATTAATGGAGCAGTGCTTTTAAAGTGTTAGGGTCAGAGGCTTTAACCTCAGAATTAGTCCCAATCAGGATTGTGTAGAACCGTACCACTATTGCAGCCATATCCTCATAAGATTATAATCTTCTCCCTTGGTCATCAATAAGTACATGAATAGTATCTCTCTTGGATCTAGTAGCAACCACAGAGTGAAAAAATTTAGTACATTTATCACCATGATTAATCCATTGAACCTTCGCTTTCTGTCTTAAAAACATGTTCTCGGCTTCTTCAAGGAGGTGAAGCTCATTTTGCAGTTGTAATTCTTTATGGAAAGAATCTGCAAAATTTAAAGATCTAATCTGTTGTTCCTGAAGTTCCATTTTCTTTTGGTTGACACGAGCAGAAATGTTGCTATACTGATTCTGATTAAGGGCTTTCAAACTGTTTTTAAGGCGTTTAAGCTTGAAGAACAACTGTTGCATAGGATTTCCTTGGGAAGAAGATTGCCAGGATTGACTAACAATGTTTAGGAATTCGGAGTGATTGGCCCAGAAGTACAAAAACTTGAATGGCTTAGGATGATCAGTATGAACCTCTTTAGAAAGCCAAGCAATTGCTAAACAGTGGTTAGAAATTCCAGGAGCAAGAAATTCCACATGGGACTTAGGAAAAGCAGTAAACCAAAGAGGATTAACTAAAACCCTATCAAGGTTTTTTGCTAGATATGATTCTTGTTGTTTGTTACTCCAGGTGAAAGTAAGGCCATAAAAAAGATGATCAAGAAATTCCAAGTCAAGCAAGGCATCTTGGAATTCCTTCATGTCAGATGCAAGAAAAGGACCCAACATGGAAGAATTTGAGCTCTCATTCGAGTTGAGTATAACATTAAAATCTCCTCCCAAAATCCAAGGAAGGTTGCCATGCTGACTGCTTACTTCTTGAAGTTGCTGCCAAAGTTGTCTTCTCAAAACACCATCATTACTACCATATATAGCAGTAATGTTGAGTTAATCAATCGACGGAATCGGCCAAGAGGGGGGTGAATTGGCAATTAAAAATTTCGTAGAAGCTTTTGCAGAAAAGTTGAAATTAATTGCACAGCGATTTACAGTGGTTCGACTTTCTCAAACAAAGTCTACGTCCACTACCTTAGCTATCCACACTAAGGATTTTCCAAAAAATTCACTAATTTGTTCTTTCTTTTGAGGCCAAAGAGATAACCTTACAAAATCCCTCAAGAGTATACCCCAACTCTTGAGAACACTCTTTTTCCCAAAGAGAAGATAACAAATTTGCAAACTTACAAGAAAACCTCACAAGGTAAGATGTTTGAACAATTCTAGAACAAGAAAAGAACACTCAAAGATAATTACAAATGAGCACAAATGGTGTTCTTGAAAGCAAAATGAATATTGAAAGGAAAATTGGCTTGATTTGCACAAACTTGATGTTTGATGCTTTCTCTCTTGTTTCTCTATGATTTCTTGTTGATCAAGGGCTTCAGAACTTGTTTAAATACACCTTGAATCTCTTCTGAACGTTGGGGATGATTAGTGAAGATCATATAGCCATTTTAGTATGAAAACAATTAATAAAACAGTTTGGAGCGTAGGGGGAATCGGTACCCCCTATGGGGAATCGGTTCCCTAAGTGTAAAATTCAAATATTTTGACCGTTGAACAGGGGGGAATCGGTACCCCCTATGGGGGAATCGGTTCCCTCCGAGCATTCTGGAAATCTCGGAGCCAAACCATTCAGGGGGAATCGGTACCCCCTTGGGGGGGAATCGGTTCCCTCTGAGCAATCTGGAATTTTTGGCTTTGAAATGGTTCGAAATACTTTGAAAGATTATTTTGAAATTGTTTTAAGATTAAAACTTAATTTTACACTTAAGTAAGGATTAAAAATGATTTTGAAATATTTTGAGTAATGTTTTGATATTCGAATAATTATATCGAATATACTTAGAAAATCATTTTGGAAAATCTTAAAATTCATTTAACTTAATTTGTTATATCGAAATATCAAAATGTTTTCAACAATCTCCCCCTTTTTGATATAACAAAACATTTTAGTAATTTTAAGATTTTGAAATCAAGTTTTGAAATTACTCCCCCTTACTTTAACACTTCTCCCATTTATCATTTTAAAAAACACACTTAAAACACACTTCTCCCCTTTTTTGTTAAATCAAAATGATTCAAATAAACATGAAAAATATTAAGCCAATTGATTAGGTATATGTATGCATAAGCTGCTAAGATCACAATTAAGAGAAACGTTAGCCATTAGTTCCGTAATCAATATTCATAAATAATGTGATATGGCAAAATTGGTCATATTGCTAATAATGATGTAAATGATGCAATAATAAATAAATCACACCAAACATATAAGTTCAAACCATTCATAAATCCAAAAAAAATTCACAATCCTCAAATTCAAACATCCCAAAATATTCAAAATGTTAAAACAATAAGTTTGGAAAACAAAGTAAAACATTTAATCATATATCCGGATCAGGAGGAGGAAAACGAGCTCGCATAGCGGCCATTTCGTTAGTGAGGTCATTAATACGTGCGTTGGTTGCTTCATTATTTGCACTCATTTCCCGAAGAATTTCTAATTGTTGAGCTCCCATTGTGGATAAATGGGACTCTATAGAATTAAAGCGCGAATCCATGGTCACACATATCGGTAATCAAATGTCTCCATAAAAGATTGAAAATATGGAGACATTTGAGTCGATTGTTGTGCTTGCTCTTCGGGCTGCTCCTCGGCCTGCTCAGGTTCATCTTCAGCTTCATCGATGTCTCGCATTAGTTGCTCAAGCTCGAGATCTTCGTCAGCTTCGGGTGGAGCTTGTGAAGAACTAGCTCCCGGAGTAGTTGCAGAAGATCGAACCCATTCCCCGGTTTCCTTATCCTTAATCCATCCCGCTCTCGTTAAGGAAAGAAGGTTAATTTGTTTCTTAAGAGGAAAAACATCTAGACCGACTCTAAGCCCAGCTTTGGAAAACAGATTACTCAAAATACAACCGTAAACAAGAGATGAACAAAGTTTTTTATTAGGAACAAGATTTACGGTTTCAATAATTTCAGCAAAAATAATCTGAGGTAGGTTGATTTTAATATTGTTTTCGAAACAATGTAACCACCAAAGATCTAAGGCTCTAAGAGTAGAATAACGACCTCCAGATGGTCGAAACCACCAAGAAATCATTAGATGAAGAAAACGTTCATGAAGGTCTAGGACACTTGCACTATCCCTTCTTTTATAACGAGATCCTAAAACCTGTTTTTCATTTGAAATCCCTTCATTATCTAATCCAAATGTATTGGCTATGTAAGCCGAGTCAATATATAAGAATTGTCCTAGAAGGTAGGAACGAATTCCTATGGTTTCAGTTTCAGTTTGGTCTTTAACACAAACAGCATTAGAATAGAAAATACGAACAAGTTGATGGTAAACGATGGGTTCAAGGTCAAACAGTTTATCAAATTTCCACTCTTGTAAAAGAGGAAGATATTTAAAATTGATAGCTAACATAGCTTGACGAGAAGGAATACGTTCTTCCCGGATTTTGTAAGAGTCGAAATATTGATAATACCAAAAACGATGATTTCTAGGACCAGGATGATTGAAACACGAATTTTGGATAGTCAAATTAGGATCAATAGGATTAGGATTAGAAATTGGAATAGGTGGAGGATTTGGAGGTGGATTTGGTTGTCGGTGTGAACGACTAGATAAAGACCTAGCACGTTTAGGATTAGACATGGTGAAGGAAATCGGAATAGATTGGATAACCTGCAATTTTAAAAACAAATGTATGCAATTCAATTAATCCCAAAACTCAATTGAGTCCTCAATATTTCAAGGTTCTCTAAATCAATCCTAATGGGCAAAGTTTTTGAAAAACTTTTTAAAAAAATATGGTTTTGAGAAACAATATATGTATAGTTTTCATAACAATAACATAATTTAATCAAAACACAATGATTTGAAAAACAACAATATTTTTTTTAATTTCGAAAATTTAAAATTTTTGGAAAATTTTTGTGTTTTTGATGAAATTAGTTGTAACATCTAGTTTCTAATCACTAAACAATCAATGCCCGATCACTATTTCAACCTAGAACTAATTAAAACTAATCATATGTTCAGAATCAATGAAATAGAGAGTTTAGAAAAATTTACCTTGAAAGATGAAGATTGAGGGGATTTAGATGTTGTTTGCACGATTTTAATGATGATTGCAAGTTTAGGAGATGATATTTGAAGTGATTTTCGATTAAAATCAATGATTTGAGGCAAGAATGGAGATTTGAGTGTTTGAGGGAGAGAAACGGCGAAATAGGTTTTGGGATTTTGGGGTTTTGGGTGTTCTTGCCCGATTTTAACAGAACCCCAGGGGGGTATCGATTCCCCTGTGGGGGGAATCGGTTCCCCTTCAAAGGGGGAATCGGTTCCCTCATGGGGGGATCGATTCCCTCTGCACCAAAATGCTAAAATCCAACTTTTAAGCACATAAAATGCTAAATTAATCTTCTCTAGTGGTATAGGCAACTCATATATTGAAAAATATTTTATGTTCAAACAATTAAATTAATCTTTAAACATTATTTGAACATAAAATTAATTTTCACTAAGAATCATAAACTTCCCCTAACTAATAGCAATAATGCAATCAAAAATTATTATTATAAGCATTTTTCAGTATTTATTAAAAGTGCTAAATTATTTTAAACACTAAGTGAAGATAGGTTAGTTAAACCTAATTCTCTTCTAAGTGTCCAAAACCTTTCCTTGTCTAAGGGTTTTGCAAAGATATCCGCTAATTGATGCAAAGTATTAACATATTCTAGAACTACATCTTCCTTAGTGACATGGTCTCTAATGAAGTGATGTCTTATTTCAATGTGCTTAGTTCTAGAGTGTTGGATGAGATTTTTAGTGAGACAAATAGCACTAGTATTGTCACACTTGATAGGAATGGTACCTACTTCAATTCCATAATCAAAAAGTTGTTGTTTCATCCATAAAACTTGTGCACAACAACTACCGGCTGAAATGTATTCCGCTTCAGTGGTAGATAATGCAACACAATTTTGTTTCTTTGAAAACCAAGAAATCAGCATATTTCTAAGGAATTGGCAAGTACTGGAGGTGCTTTTCCTATCTAATTTGCATCCTCCATAATCCGCATCAGAAAAGGCATGCAAGCTAAAGCTAGAGTCTCTAGGATACCAAAGTCCTAAACTAGGAGTGTCCTTAAGGTATCTAAAGATTCTCTTAACAGCTAGTAAATGTGATTCTTTAGGACATGATTGAAACCTAGCACACAAGCAAACACTAAACATAATATCCGGTCTACTTGCGGTTAGATAAAGCAAAGAGCCAATCATTGACCTATATAATTTAACATCTACACATTTACCTCCTTCATCTAAGTCAAGCTTTGTTGAAGAGCTCATTGGAGTGTTATGAGGTTTCCATTTTCCAGTCCAAACTTCTTGAGCATATCTTTGACGTACTTAGCTTGATTAATGAAGATGCCATCTTTTCTTTGCTTGATTTGGAGTCCCAAGAAAAATGAGAGCTCCCCCATCATGCTCATCTCAAACTCACTTTGCATTAGCTTAGAAAATTCTTGGCAAAGAACATCATTAGTAGAACCAAATATTATATCATCAACATAAATTTGAACTACTAATAAATCTTTACCTTTTCTCTTTAAAAACAATGTAGTGTCAACCTTTCCTTTTAAAAAACCTTTTTCAATTAAAAAATTTGACAATCTTTCATACCAAGCTCTAGG